TGCTATACAATTTCGCTTAATTTGACAATTATGGTGGTATTAAATTTATGGGATAATCTGTGTTTTTTGTTAAGTTTGAAGGATAAGTGCTGCGAGACTAGTTGGTGAATTGTCCGATTTAGAAAATTTGATTGTTCGTTATCGTTTATTGTTTTTTATTTATCAAAAATCAATAACAAGGATATGGAAACATTTTTTATTTTTTTTTTGGTACAATAATGAATGATTGCTAGTTTTGCTACTATAGTGTATTGACAAAAACTTAGCAAGTACGATGTTTGCGAGTTGTATGGTTGTTGATATGATTGTCATTTGTGTTGATGCAGCTGAGACTTTGTTAGATGATAGTCAGTTGTATCTTGTATGATATTATTGTCATTGTGTTGTTGTTAGTTACTCATTTGTCCTGTCATCCTATTATTTTTGTCCGCTTATGGAAAATTCGGTTTATAGACGTAAAAATAATTATTGAGCTCAAAGTGTAACAATGTAGTACACTTTCTACACTAGTACCTGTGGGTTTCTAAACATGAGCTCTCTTCTAAGTGGGACTAACAAATTATGTTTAGTGCGAACTCAGTTATTAAACAAGGTCAATATGTATAGTGTGGACTCAGTTAGATTTTTATATTTATCATTAGAATTTGGGCAATATGTTAGAAATTAGAATGTATTAAAATTGAAGAGGGACGAAATTATTGGATGGAGGGCATAGTATTTCTGTAATATACCAATTTGAAGAAATATCTGATTATTGGGATTTTTATCCAAGTTTTGACTGAGTTAATTTATGTGTGTAGGTTATTACTTTGAACTTGGAATGGTGGTTGTGTGAGAAGTATTGGCGATTCTTATTGAGAATTATTGAACCCATGGCAGACAGGAGCTCCTCTTCAATGGGGTTTTACTGTTGGAATTCCCTGTTTTATTGGCTTTGTCTAACAAGCATCCTCTTCCTACTTTCTTCCTTCTTTGTATTGCGGTCAACAGGCCGGCCACAATTTGTTTTTCGGCCTAGTTCAGATGCTAACATTGTGTCTGATAATATTAATTCTGGTGGAGGAGCTGCAGTATTCTGTGAAAAGTTTATAGCAGAACGTGGTGTGAGCAAACAAGTTCTGAAGGTTTTCATGTATGATTTGCCACCTGAGTTTCATTTTGGACTTTTGGATTGGAAACCTGAAGGATCTAATGTTTGGCCTGATATTCGAACGAAAGTCCCAAACTATCCTGGTGGATTGAATCTACAACACAGTATAGAGTATTGGCTTACACTTGATATCCTCTTTTCGGAATATTCTGGCTCTTCCAATTCTCGTGTTGCTGTGAGAGTGCGAAATTCTAGTGAAGCAGATGTGATATTTGTCCCCTTCTTCTCGTCGTTATCGTATAATCGCTTTTCAAGGCTGAGAAAGCAGGAAAGAAGCAGTTTAGATAAGCTTACACAAGATAAGTTGGTCCAATATTTAGAAGCTCAAGAAGAATGGAAAAGGTCAGGGGGTGTGGATCACATTATCATGGCTCATCATCCAAATAGTTTATTATATGCAAGGAACCAACTTTGGCCTGCAATGTACATACTCTCAGATTTTGGGAGGTACCCTCCAAATATAGCAAATGTCCAGAAAGATATCATAGCACCTTACCGGCATGTTATCAAGTCATATGTCAATGATACATCGACTTACAATAGCCGTCCAATCTTACTGTTCTTCCAAGGTGCCATTTACAGAAAAGATGTAAGTTCTCTTCATCATCTGATTTCCTGTTTGATGTTGCAATTGTTTCTTTCTGTTGATTGCTATTGTGCACCACGGACTAGTTCCTTCTCACTCTCATCCTTGTGTAGCTATTGCCTTAATTCTCAATCTACTTTTTTGCTGTTGAGTGGCCTATGTTTTATCACTTGTCTAAGATATTAATATATTATATGGCTTACTTTGTGAAACAATAATGTGAATCATACTGTATATCATTGTTAATTGTGGAAACGTACTTTTCTTACTTCTCTTCTGTTGCAACTTCCATTAGCTTGTTTGAGTTATTTTCCTTGATAACTTTTATTTGGCTATGTAACATTGAGCACGTAATTATACTGTCCAAATGGCTTCATTTTCCGTGATTAGTTTTAGATGTCTTATCAACTTCAATGTGATCCTCAAATTTGGGTTAATTGTTTTATGCAGGGTGGAGTGATAAGGCAAGAGTTATTTTATCTCTTGAAAGATGAAAGGGATGTGCATTTTACATTTGGAAGTATCCAACGAGGTGGTGTCAATAATGCTACCCAAGGAATGCACTCCTCTAAATTCTGCCTTAACATAGCCGGTGACACACCATCATCAAACCGGCTGTTTGATGCGATTGCCAGCCACTGTGTCCCTGTTATCATAAGTGATGAAATTGAGCTTCCCTACGAAGACATAATTGATTACTCGGAATTCTGCATTTTTGTTCGTACTTCTGATGCCACAAAAGAGAAGTTTCTTATGAATCTTATTAGGGGTATTAGCAAGGAAGAATGGACTCGCATGTGGAGGAAACTGCAAGAAGTTGAGAATTACTTTGAGTTTAGGTATCCATCAAGGGATGATGACGCTGTCCAAATGATATGGAAGTCCATAGCACACAAGGTGCCTGCAGTGAAGTTGAAATTGAACCGAAATAGGCGGTATGTTCGTACCTCCAATGTCAGTGTGGATAGGGAACCTCCAGCTTTCATGGTGCCGCATAGTTTTTGGTAGGAATCGACGTCTTCTTTGGAGGCCTGCAATTTTTAGGGTCGGCCAAAGCTGCCTAACGTAGGCGAGAGACTACACTTACAGAAATTTTGTGATCATTTCAAACTCGAGGGAACAGAGCTTCATTTCCCCTCTTTAGTTACCACTTATGTAGCCAATGAGCCATCTTCCTAAATCGATTGTGTATAGACAATTTTTTCCCAAGGCATCGGCTATTTCTCGAAAGTAGACCGTTGTATGTTTTAGGAATTGGCAGTAAAGGAACACTAGAAGTTAATACGGAGTATGATTGATTCTTTTATTCATTTGGTGTTATCTTTTTTCCCTTTTATTAGGAATACATTTTTTTTTGCTTGATTTTATATTTTGTGCTATATTCTAAAAATTATTTCTCCTAGTTGTAGTAATAAAAAAAAAAAAAAAGCTTTGACTTTCCTCCAAAAAAAAAAAGCTTTGACTTTCCTTAAAAAAAAAGAAGCTTTGACTTTCCCAGAATATTTCTATTGTACTATATGTTGGCCATCTCTATTACTCCGTATATAAACAAACTTTAAGGAGTTTAATTAACGTCCATTCAAAATAATTACAGAGTATAATTTCTTTTTTCTTTTCTTTTTCTGTTAAAATTTAATATTTTTCAATCCTAATGTATTGGAAATGCTGTATACATATTATTAAGATTAGGGGTATGTTTGTTGCATCTCAGTTTAACTTATTTTATACAGTATCTTATTTCAGAAAAAATGAGTTCACATAATATAAGTTTAGACAAAATAATTTCAAACAAGTAAAATTAATTACAATACATATGATTATTAATTTATTATTGATCATCCAGTAATTGTTAAAATAGCAGCGGCAGCTAATTTCCACACTACCTATTCGAAGAAATGTCAAGATAGAAGAAAACAGCCAATTTTCTCAAACTTGAAAAATGGAAGGGAAATTTCGGAAACAAAAAGAGGACTTTAATAGTTTACTTTAGCAAGTCAACTCCCTTAATCTCTTGATACTTTGAAAGATTAATTAAAGCTGATGATCAAGCCCCTAACAAAATTGTGATATGTGCTCATTTTTATTAGAATTGTAGTTTGTTATCTTCATATTCTGCGAAAAAAGGTATGATTTTTTCACTGAAATTCTTTCTTGTAATCTGTAATGCCTATTTTTCCTGAACTTTTCATGCAGTTGGATAATTTCTGCCATTTGGTTGTTTTTGTTAATTTATGTTTGTATGGTACAGATCGCATAGAATATGATTTCTTGTGTATTACAAATTAATTTAATTTGTATAGTCTGACTTAAGATCGAATCTCATTTGTGTCAAAGAAAAATTTGTTACTTAGTTGTTTTTATTAATGAATCTTGATGTTATAAATCAGTAGTGAAATGCCAAGTTATCACTTTATTTGTTGGTTGGAATCTCATACAACATGGTTTTGAGTGTAACAGCTAACAGATTACGTCTTGGAATGTTACATGTTAAGCTTAAATCTCGTCTATATCGTTAATTTCTGTAACTCTCTTTATATAACATAAGGTAGTAAAGAAAAAGAATAGTGGAGACAGTTTAACTGTTTAAGGGAGAAAAAAAGGGAAATGAAAGGCCTTAAAAAGTTCAAGCATTTACTTAGTCTATTTTCACTTGCAAGAATCTTAATTTGGTGTCACAGGTTGCATATTTAGATCCGACATTCGAGAGCATAATTACTTATTTCATTGAACCCTCATTTTAGCATGCAAATTGCATATTCTTTTCATTACAACTACCTTGTCTTTTTACATGCAACTGTAATTATAAGGTATGCTAAACATGGAAACATGATTTTTTTTTTTTTTAAAAAAAAAAAAACACACACACACACACATACGTGGGTATACTGAGAAAAACATGTAACCAAAAACATAAATCCCACCATGCTCTCGGATGTATAATCTAATAATCTAAGCGTTACCTTGCTGATGTTGCAGTACATACTTCATGCTTAAACCCTCCTATGAACACTGAGTTCTACCATATTTACCCTGAGATTTACCACAACACACATTTGAGGAAATTAAAAACATGCTTTACTATAAGTATATATTTTTTTTGGATAGATTAAATCATACAGCTATCATTAGGGAAATTCGGAAGTCAGGATGACAAATGATTTGAAAGGTATAATTAAATAGGAAGTATGTTGTACTATAAAACTATGTTACTATCCTCCTTTACCCTGTAGAATCATTTGTACCTGTTTTTGGTTATCAGGTTCTTCAATGGAAACCTTAAAGAATTTGTTGAATATTAGTGATGGCCAAGATGATAAGCTGCAGACATTGAAGCGTAAAGCCAGAGCATTGCATGCGAAAGCAGAAGATGTACTCAGTGAAATAAAACAAGGGGAGCTTCAACCAGGAAAGAGACGAAGGAAGGAGGTTGATAACTGGTTGAAAGACGTTGAAGAGGCGGTGCTTCAACTACAAAATCTTGAGCTACGAGGTAAAGGTTTGATTACATCAGAACGGAGCAATGCTGGATTGATAAAACAAATTGGAGACTTGACTATGCAAGGGAGTTTTCCTCGAGGGTTTACGTTCTATGATCATGGGAGTTCTAGTGTAGCACTAGTAACAACAAACATGAAGATAAATGATAGAATGCTACATAATAATAAGAGGAAAGTTATATCTTGGCTGATAGATGATGGCACCATCTCCACAGTAGGCGTTTATGGTCCAGGTGGTGTTGGGAAAACTGTGCTGCTTAAAGAAATTCACGATGAGCTACTTGAACGCTTTAAATCATCTGCACGCGTTTATTGGGTATCTGTGTCACATGGCATCACATTGCCTATGTTGCAGGATAAAATTGCTGAAGCTATGAATTTGAGCTATCTTTTAACAGAGAAAAATGCAATCAGGAAGGCAGCCTCTTTATCTTACGAGTTAAAGCAGAGAAATAATGTTTTTCTTTTCCTGGATGATGTGTGGGAACATTTTTCTCTAGAGGAAGTGGGGGTTCCTATCGGAGATGAGAATAGTTGCAAATTGATCCTGACAACGCGGTCTTTGGATGTGTGCAGAAGGATGAAATGTCGGAAAACTGTCAAGGTGGAGCCGCTGTCAAAGGAAAAAGCTTGGGAGCTATTTAGCAAGGTACTAGGACGGAGAGATCATATGCCACCAGAAATAAATGAGCTTGCAGAGCTAGTTGCTGCTGAATGTGCTGGTTTGCCTCTTGGTTTGATTGTCATGGCTGGAAGCATGCGAGAAGTAGACGACATTCAAGAGTGGCGTAATACTTTAGAGGAGTTGCAAAACTCAAGTGAAGGACAACCTGACAATAGAAACAGAGATATTCCCAGTTTTGAAGCTTAGTTTTGATCGTTTGAAAGACCAAAGGCTGAAGGAATGTTTCCTATTATGTGCATTGTATCCTAAATATGGTGAAATTGTACGAGATGAGCTGATTGTTCTTTTCCGTTCTGAAGGCCTTCTGGATAAGATAGATAGTTGGCAAAAGCAATTTGATAAAGGACACAGCATGCTGAATAAACTCGAAAATGCATGCTTACTGGAGAGGTATGATAACAGATGTGTGAAGATGCACAATTTCATCAGAGACATGGCAATTCGAATCACCAATACTAAGCCACGATATATGATTGCAGCGGGTGCAGAGCTGAGAAGAATACCTAGTGGGCGACGATGGACAATAGATCTTGACAAGGCTTCCTTAATGCACAATTTTTTGTCAGAAATTCAACCCGGAACAATACCCATGTGCCCAGACCTCACTACCTTACTGCTCCAGCAAAACCCATTTACAAAACTCCCAGATTCTTTCTTTGTGCACATGAAGGCCCTCAAAGTGCTTAACTTGTCCAAAACCAGCATCAAGAGGCTACCAGACTCGATTTCAGAATTGAAGAACCTGAGAGCTCTTCTGCTTGAATTCTGCAAGCGTTTGCATTTTGTGCCGTCAGTAGTGAAACTTACCAGCTTGAGGGAGTTGGATTTTAGCTTTTGCTGGTCAATGAAAGATGTGCCGCATGGGATGAATCAGCTAGCTGAACTTAGATTCCTTGATTTAGAGGGATGCAAGGATCTGTGTCAGTTACTCAGTGGTTCATTATCCACATTTTCTCACATCCAATGCCTTAAGCTCGATCCAGATGTGCAAAGTATCTCAGGAGATGATGTGTTAAAACTGGGATGTTTGGAGAGATTGGAAGGCTGCAGGATATCTGATGTAAGCAATTTTAACAAATATGTTAAATCTCAGCATTTCCAGCAGCTGAAGTACTACGAGTTTGTCGTTGGAGCAGGACAATACAAAAGGGTTGATCATAGCATAAGCGCAGAACGAATGGTGATCCTATGCAGCGGAAGTCTTAAAGGAGGAAGCGGAGGGGATCTATTTGTTCCTCCAGAGAACACTCAAGATCTACAGATTCATAACTCTGCATTTGATGCAAGAAGCTTGGTTGGTGCCCTTCCATCATTAATTCGTTTAACAGCATTGAAAAGAATTCTCATTAGGCGTTGCAGAATGATAGAAGTGATATGGTCACCAGTATCAGGCGTTGAAGCTACACAAGAAAAGAACCACTTCAATGCTGCTGTTGTATTATTGCTTCAATGCCTTCAGGAGTTAATTCTCACTGATCTACATGATTTCAGGGGTCTAGTAAAAGGAGGAGTTGCTATCCAACGAGGTGCCTTTTCCAATCTTAAGATATTGGTGATAAAATATTGTCCCAATATCAAGGAGCTATTCACATCAAATCTTTTAAAAGGTGGCCTTGATAACCTCCAGGAGCTGGAGGTTGAAGGATGTGAAGAATTAGAAATGATTATTGCAGTCCATGATGATGGTGGTCGAGAAAAGATCATAGATTTTGAAGGATATGTCGACAAAGATGGTGATTTAATCTGGCTTCCCAACTTGAGAGCTCTGCACTTGAGGCAGCTGCCAAAGTTGACAGGCATCTGTCATGGAGGGATGCTAGGAAAGTGTTCTGTTGAGCAAATTTCTGTTGAATATTGTGCAAAAATCAAGCAGATATTCAAGAGCAGTTTAACACAGTACCATTTGAGCAACTTGAGAGAAGTTAAAGTAGCAGCTTGCAACATTTTAGAGGAGATTATTGCATCACCCAACTCTCAGGGTCAAGAGAGTAGTGGCACCTATGAACTCCCCTACTTAAGGGCGTTAGAGTTGGATGATCTACCATGTCTTACAAGTTTCTTTCATGGAATCATACCAACTTGTGGTTCCATTGAACATATCAATGTTACAAATTGTCCAATAGTGAAGAGACTACCTCTCTCTGTACCCCTACACAACAATGGGGAAGGACTGGTACCACTTTTTCTTCAACAGATAAAAGCAGATCAAGAGTGGTGGGAATCTCTCGAATGGGATAATCCTCTTATTAAGAAGACCCTTCTGCCATTCACCAAGTTGAGTGTGGCAGGCGCATCCAGCTTTGATATCTTTGAAGGTGCTTTAGTTTTCCATCTTACATACTCTCTTAATTTAGTATCCAATCATAAGAAATTCTTTTTTGCATATTGCAGAACTTGGGTCTCCTGGGAGACTCCATGAACTGGAAAACAAATTTTCTAAAACAAAAGTGAATAATAGTTCAGAGACTGCAGACATCAACTCCTGCCTTACTTTGTTAAGGTTACTTCTCTATATTTCTTTGTTTCATTTACTCGTCTTTTTCCTTTCCAATTCGCTGGTGATGTTCTCACTGACAGACGTCAAAACTCTGAACTTTTTTTAGTGATGTTCTGCCTTGAGGCATGCAAGACGCACAACGCTGTATTCTTTCTCCAATAAGAGGTTAGATACATGATATTTTCTTTAGCATATACTATCACCATCTAGATTTATACTACCACCATCTAGATTCAATAATCAATCTAGGACATTCTTTCATGCTCATAGATTTACTTCCTTTAGCTATAAACCTCTTAAGCATGTTTAAATAACCTAGCTGTTTCTGAAAATTCAGATAGCCTAGTTTAGCCATACTAAACTCAGGAAACACCCCAATAGCAGTAAAATATGGTGTACAACACATTTCCATCATAGGAGCCACAATGAGTTTACAGCTTTCGGAATTTGTCGAATTGTAGACTGTATGGAAGGTGTTGGAAATATAGAGATTTGTCCTGCTTTAGCAACTACTTTTTCCAGACATTTTATATCCTTACAAGATGAATATTATTTATTTCAATTATATGTGTAGTTTTGGTTTTTTCACACATTTACACCAATTAACTCCGTCTTCTTGAGTATGTAGCAATAGAAATCAAGGAGAATTCAATAGAGGGACCGCTCATGCGGATAACTTTTGCTTTTAGGAGCACATAGAGAGGATAAGAGAATTGGTAAATACTTCGTATAATTGAGTCCCACAAAAAAGAGTGGGAGATATATAGAATATAGTAAAAGTGATTAGAACGTATAAAAACGGATGAATAAGAAAGTAAATAAAATTTAGGAAAACTGATGTAGTGTATATTTATAATGAATACGAAAAGTGAGTAAAACTTAGGAAAAATGTATGTTCTTTCTTAGTTAATCAGTGTCGTGTGAATATTTTATCTATAAAAAATTTACAATAAAAGTGTCACTGCTAAGTAGAGCAGAATTAACAATTTTTCTGATGTTTCGGATTGTATTGAGTTAAAATATTTACATTCTGTTTAAACCACTAGGAGTTACTGCGAGTATAAAGAAAGCGGCTTTAAGGACCATTTTCAACATCACTTCTCAGGCAGAGAAGCAGATATTCATACAGGTAAGGAACCATTTTTTGGTTGTAGGTCATCCTTTATCAGACAATTTTTAAGCTCTCGATCTTTTTGTTTGGTTAGTTGTAAGCTTTGGGAATGATTTTCTAGCTTTAGCTTTATTTTCTCTTAATTATAAACTAGAAAAATACGAAGTATGATCTGGTACTTTCTGAATAAACAGGACGTCATTGAAACTGGTATTGTGTTGCTCCATATGTCTGTTTGCTTCGTACTGCTGAAGTTTGACATCAAGTAGGAGGTTGCGCAGGTTTTTTCAAATGGTACTTTGGCATATGTTGTCATGATATAATTTATCGTGATCATGACAGCATCCAAATCTAATGCTCTGAAGGCAGTCAAAAATCTATAGGTACGTCGGGATGACGGTGATGATGAAAAAGAAGCAGCATTGTCTTCTGTTAATGGTGCAGAACTGCAGCGCAGAGGAAATGAAAACTTTGAAATTGAATCCGAGTTTGGTAAAAGATGTGAACAGCATTTTTTTTCCTTAATTGTCTATTTTGCCTGAGAACAATGACAGCTTTTCTTCAATAATTCTTCATAGCCATTCCTCAGACGCATATTGCCCTAATCATCTGTAGCCAGTTTGCCAGAAGTTAAAATCTGAATAAAATTGGACAGGGAAATTCAGACGTGGATGAAATTTTTTTGATTGGAACTTTATGACCAATTGCAAAATAGTTTTGGCACATGAGTTCTGGTTTCGATTTCAAGTGATTTCAGTTATATTTGGTTTCAATTATTAATTTGAATTTCATCGTATTCATAAACAAAAAAAAAACTTTGATTTAATTACATTTATTTTCGAGTCTAGTAAGCTTTGATCCAGTCAGTCATTTGATCTCATAAACAATCCGGGCTAGGATAAGGTAATTCAAATTGAGTAATTAGGGTACTACTCCATAGTTTGTTTTTCCGGGACGTGGAATCAATTACACATTAGAGTAGATATTAATTGAAACCACATAGGCAGTGCTCAGCTGAGTACTTCCATGTTAGTGTCACACAGACACACATTGTAAATGATATCTCACATCAGTCATATGTTTTACTTATTCAATTCGAAGTCTCCACCATATGGCTAATTAAAAACCGAAATTCATATGAGTTCAATTAGGGAACGAAGCTTTATTGTTCTTCGCAAAATAAAACCAAGTAACAGTAATTCTCCTGGAAGGCACACCAATTACCAAATGGTTTTAGGATTAAACATAGAATAGGGAGAAGGGACTCAAGGGAGAAGTTAAAGAAGAAGGGTTACAATAATTCTCCTGTCAATTCAATTATAAAATAAAACCAATTAACAGTAAGTCAGTAATCAATTCTAACAATCATATCAGCAGAAGTGGTAATCCCTGAGATAGGATCTTACAATACATTACATGTACCAACAAAAAACAAAACAAAAAGAGAAAAAAAAACCTATTTAACACAGTCACCTGATAGTTGATTAGAAGTATTACACTGTATCATTATGGCCTTTTTTTTTTTATCCAAAAAAAATTATCAACACAACCTAAGTTTTAAATTTAAGCAGCTCGAGTAAAAAAACTCAAGTAATTCGAATAAGGAAAACCACCATCATAAAAACCATTAGCATAATAAACATAATAAGCCACGTTAAACATGAAGTCTTTGAGCTCTGTGAAAAAACACTCATTGCCCTTACATTGGCGTGACTAGTGCTTGCCAAGCTATGCTCAACTGCCTTCTCGGTTGAATCAAGTATCTATAACAACAAAACCATGATGAAAAAACAAAATTAACCCCCCAAAATAGCCACGATAATGTGAGCCAAGTTGGAAACAAACAAATTTAAGATGCTAGACTAGACCAGACCAGAAAGGTGAGAAGCAACAAACATAGCACTTAGAACAATTGACTTGTTGACAAAGGACAGAAGCAAAAAGTTTAATTTTCCACGAAAGCAAGCAAGAAATGTGTTTTTGCACCAAAGACAAGGAATCTTTTGCCGCAAAAAATAGTATATAGATTAATATTTACATCTAAAAACTTCCTCTCAACACTAATTTCCATGGTAAAGCTCTCAAGAGTGTCATGAGATAGTGAGAATATTTTTAAGACACAGCTGCAAGACTATATATAGTGCCCCATCCCAAATTTACTTATACCTCTATATATAAAGCCCTTACCAGAATCAAGTGTTTTATTTTTTTTTATTTTTTTTTATTTTTTTTTTTTATCCTATCCTGGGCGGCTGGGCCCCTAAAATGCACAACATACAACTTAATTTATGCAGGATACAATGGTCCTGTACTTAAATAATACCCTATTCTCACAATCTTCTAATGTTTCATGTTCATTTTTTGGTTTTCTAGGTCGTAGAAAGTGGAAGGGGCTCGGACAACCTGAATTCAAACGGCCAACCTGAACTGGAAAAATATTGACAACCAAAAAAACTCCACAGTTCTAATACTTCGTATTATCTACTACATATCACACCTAGTTGCCTCACAACATTACCCCCATTTTGTAGATTATTTTTAAGCTACAGGTAGCAGTATGGAGTAATTTGGCAAGATTAGTTTAACTTTTAACCAAGTCCAAATCTAAACAAAAGTTCTACGGTAGCTTTTTAAATCTCAAGCCTGAACTCAAAACAAAATTTGGGAGTCCGATCCAGTTCTATTCCTAGGTAGAAAAGATAAAGGTGAAGGATACCAACCCTATGTCGTTTTCAGGATTTAATCATAATTTTATTTCAATGTATGAGCATAAAATGAATCCAGTTGCAAAATAAAACATTTTGGAGGGAGGAAATAACTCATTAACTTGCAGCTATTTAATTACACAGACAACACCACCACAACCTGGTCTCTTTACACAACAAAGTCATAAGATTCCTTTCAGAAAAAAGTAATACAGATTTTGTGAAGCAGTGTCATGTTCAAAGTAGGCTCAAGAAAGCATAGTTGAAGGCAAGTATGTACCTTCTCAGCATTTTGCACTGACTGACTCATTAAGAGACTGCTCTCTTTCAGTTGTCGTGCCATTCCCACCATCTCATCAGTCAAGTCTTCTTGAAGCTTTCTGTATCACAAAGAAGTGAAATTCAATAACACAATTTTATACAAAGGAAAGCTGAGTGAGCATATGCTCACCAAGAATCAATAACACGATACAACAATATCTGAAAATAATCTCTAACCATGTCACCCCCAATAAAAGGCTAGAAGGATTTCATCTCTAACGGCAAATGGGGATAAAGTAGACATTTATATAAAAATGCAAAAAATTGCTGAGGACAACTTCATAAAAAAAAAACACGGGGCTGGAAACAATCTCCTCAAAAAGAATCCACAAAATTTATACAAGACAATTCTCTATATTGAAATCTGCTTTCAGTAGAGATAAGCAAAACTGAGCTTCCTGAAGTTTCAACTTTCAAGTTATAATCCCCTTGATCTCTTGCTCCTGAAATTAAGATTGGAAGACGTGTAGTTCATATCCTTTCTCAAAACACTCCGTAGGGACAGTAGATGTGTATCATGAAGACTACTCAGTTTACTCTTTCAAGCAAACAGTGATAAACTCAGAGTTATCAACCATATTTACAAAATAATGTTCAGAATAAAATTACCTGTGCTTGTCTATATGTGAATGGGCAGCAGCATCTAATTTAACAAGTGGTGAGGAATCAGGTCCAACATTATCGTGTGACTTGTCTTCAACAAATGAGGATGGCCTACACTCGCAAAAAACCTTCCAACTCAATTTCAAAATTCCTTAAAATAACTCCATGAATAAGACTGTAATGTTTACATACACTGGTCTCTTCCTAAGTCCTGGTGGGGAGGCAACTTTAAGTTCTTCACCTATTTGAGGGCTTGCCTCAGTGGAAGTCTCTTCAAAGAGTTCCTGCATTAGTCATGTACCAAATAGTTATTAATGAAACCTCCTTTCCACACCAAAGTTGATCAAAAGCAGCAAACTATTTTCCTTTGGAACTATTGAAATCATATATTAAACATAAATAAGCTCTCTATATACAGAGTCTGGCAACTTCTTCCTTTTCTGCCCTTTTTAAAAGATTATACATTTGAAGTTTGTTATTGAAACAACTTGGTCTCCACATAATGCAAATTTCTGGTTTAAACAACAAAATAAAAATAATAAAAAAAAAAAAAATCCTAGAACAGCTCGAGAAACTCAACTCTGTGTAACTAATAAATCACTAGCAACCTCCTCAATCAAAATCATACAAAAAATACATAAACAATGAACAGACACCTAGCAGACATACAAGCATACATTTTGCTATCACAAGTTTTATAAGTGATTATGCAGTGTAAAAAAGCAATATATAGCAGAGCTACAACAGCTAAGATTAAGCATAGAAAAATAGAGGCCGTCAAAACATACCATAGGTGAAGTTAATTTGGCTGCAATAGATTCAATCTTCTCAGAGTAATCATTTACTTTAGCTTTGGAGACCCTACAAGGTAAAACCCAGGAGCAGAGTGAATTGATTAAATTGATGTTTAGTAAACCCATACAGTAACAAAGAGTTTGAAAAAAGTAAAGGATTTAAGTTATGTTGATGATAGAGCAAAGTATCTAACACAACAAATAACATAAAACTATGGATCACAAATCACAATAGTCATCAAACGGGCTTGATAGCTAGACTATTATACTCATAAATTAACAGATTATATCATTACACTATCCTAACCAAGAAATTAGTCCCAATTTTCACTCGCAGTCTACAACATCATGCAAAAAAGACATTAAGAATAGGTTTTTTTTCTCAACAAAAATAGATGATTTCATTAATGCAGCAAGGCTAGATTGCAATTCTAAGATCCAAACTCTAATCTCTTACTAGTTCTACTTCTACTGCTAAGGTTATTGCATCTGCTTCTACCATGCATCGCTGAGGAAGCTTATCCCCAATTACCCAAATCCCACCCTCTCTGCCTCTAACCCATTTCTCCAACTTTAAGGAGCAAGAGAATATCTCCACTATTTATAACAATAAGAAGAGAGAGAAAGGGAGTTTTTCACTAGAGCTTTGGTTTCAAGTTCACAACTATTAGCAGTTGATCTCTTTGTTTACCACAAACTTTTTAAACATTCCATAAAAAAATGCCACTAAACACCACAAACTTATAAGCTGACCTGGGCAAGCCTTCTGGAGTGGTCTCTTCAGTTAGCTGTTCCAACAATTCGCGCAGTGTAGCAACATACTGCATAATTACAGATTGTAATCCAATCAGGTGAAAAGCATATGAACTACAAACAAGTTGAATAAACGTATGATTAAAAAATTTAGATGCATATAAATTGAAATTTGTTCACAACATCTCGATTAACATACATGAGCCAATTTTGCCTGATTTTGTTGTTGTGGTGCAGCAGCAATTAACCTTCTCAGATTAATCTCAGTTTTGCTAATCCCCATACCAAGATTCCCACCTGCCACAGTCCACACACACACAAATATATATAAATAAATAAGCAAATTACGAACCTACCAACGTCAGCAATGTTTGGCAATTAAGAAAAAACAATTACTTGTATTTCCTTGATCATACTACACTAATGAGTAATGAGTCATCAAATGAGAATCTCCAACCTCAACCCATTTTCCTATCCTTGCTTGCGATTGTAAGATCTAAATCGACAATGATACGGCAATACTAAATTACTAATCATACGGTAACAAGCCTAAATTCAGAGATTAAGAAGCAATAATTCAAATTGAATAAATTTCCAAAATTTTAATTACAAGCAAAACCTCAGCCATGTCTTAACTCCCATAATGTTAATAAAGGGCGAAATATATGTTTTTCGGCAAGCTTCGGAGACGAGAATACGAATACACGACAATTACATTACACAAAGTCTAATAATATAGATCAATTAAACTCATAAACTATGATGAATCGCAAAATAATCTTCTCAATGAAGATTATCAATCTAAATTGCGCGTTTAGAAATTGTAGCAACAAAATCGCTGGTTATAATCTATCAAAACTTCAGCAATTTTAATCAATAGTTCAATGATCCAACTCAGAAGAACAATTTACTGAATCAAGTTATCGATAGTGTGAAACTAAACCCTAGATTATGAAATTGATATTTAATGATTAATCGAAATAAAAGGATAATTACCTCAAAGCTGTTTCAATGGTGGAGAGAAAGCTCAGAAGACACTTCAATGGAGGATTAAGGGTGCGTTTTGATGGAGGAGACTCGGGAAAGAAGGGAACAAGACATAGGAGGAAGAAATATAAGAATTATAATACTCCTCCAGTTTTTTAACGTTAACGGTTACGAGTAGATAAAAAAAAATGTTCAATTTAGTTAAAATTAGTATCTTTAAAGAAAAAAGTAGGGAATTACTTGTAGTAAAAATAATTTCAATTAGTAAAATTCGTTAATTAAAGAAAAAAATTTAATAGAGAATCAATAAAGATTATTTCACTTTAGTAAAAATAATTTCAGTTCAGTAAAATTAATTTCATTTTAATAAATATAATTTAACTTCAACAAAAATAATTTAACTTCTACAAAAATAATTTCAGTGTAGCAAAAATAAAGTGGCGTAATACATGTATCACAGTCCTTATTCATTTTCTTTAATTTTTTATCCTCGAAAAAATTCATGAAATTGTAAAATTACTTTAAAGAACAAATATAATATATAGAATTCAATAAAATTAATCTCTGTTAGTTAAATAAGAGAAAATACATATGTTCATCTTTCATGTTTATCAAGTGGAAAATATTAATGTCGTTCGGTCAAATGATTCATGGTGAAGTTCAGTAGCATTTAAGAAGAAGCATCTATAGAGAAAACTCAGAAGTTTTAATGGGGAGATCAAGAGAAAAGACTAACCATGCCCTTTTGTTCTTCGTTTTCTCTTATGGATTAACATGGTGGTGTTGGTGATGATGTTGATCGTTGTCAATGTCGAATAGAAGGATATGATATAGACTCGGTGGTGTTTGTGATGATGAAGATAGGTGTAGGTATGATGAAGATGGGCGAGGAAGAAGGTGAAGGTGGGTGTGTTACTGTTAAAAGAGGGGGCTGCTATTAATAGCGAGTGCAACACTTGAATAGTGAATAAAAGCAATTTTTAAAGTTCCATTCAGAATCAGATGCGGTGTTTGATTTTGGTTCTTGAAAACGTTAAGTATATATTGGAAAAACCTAGAGTATTTTTTGTAATTTATTTATTGACCTATAGTAAAAGCAAATCTTTCAATAACACTTGTCATTAGGACTGTTTATCAACACTGATCGCGGGTAAGAGTAGGTCGTTGGTCTACTAACCCAACCAAATTAGAAATTTATAATACCTAAACTTACACTAAACTAGTTAGTGGCAAGTAAAGGGTCGAACCACGAAGACTAAGTGTATCAATTTGTGCAAATTAGACTAGTAAGAAAGGTTGTGAGATAGAGAGAGATTAAACCAAACACTACTAAGAGCAAATAACTAAAACTTGGGAAAGTGGAATCCAATCACATCAATGCATTAAACAACATCATACAAATAGATGAAAATGACCTCGATTAGGAACATCAACACATTTAACTCACTCTCGCACAATTAAGCATGTTAATTATCCTACTAAACCAATTCACTCTCGTGCAACTAGCCTAGCAAAGGTATGGAAGAATTTAGGGCTCTCAACAAACTCACTCTCGCACAATTGATTGAAAGCACAATTAAGAGCATAGAATCGATTAGCTAGAAAGATTCTAATCCATAAAAGCATCACCCATACACAATAATCAAGAAACAATTTCATACTAATCACAATCAATCATTCAATTCATTAATATAACCTTCATCCAATTCCCTAGAACAAGACCTAAGCTAACATTATGAAGAAAGACATGGAAAACAAGGTAAAATAAGAATAAAAACAAGATTAAACAAACAAACTAATTAATCTACTCAAATCAACAAACGAAAAGCAAAAAACTAAGAATTAAGCAAAGCAATAAAGATGAGAGAAAGTTAGAGAATGTTCATTGAATAGATGAGAAGAAGTTCCACAAAGTTGCTTCTTCAACCTCTCAAAAACTCCATGAAAATCCAAGCTTTCTCTCCCTACAACTACTCCTAAACTAGAGAGAGAAAATCCTAATCTAACCCTAGGAGAGAGAAAATAAAATAGGCAAAACTAATCTAATCTAGGTAAAATAAAAATATTGATTGAAAGTTAAGAGAAAATAACCCCAAAGGGGTATTTATAATACAAGTTAAAAAAAATAAAAAATAAATAAAACTAATTAAAACTAAATTCAAAAACAAAACTAAAATAAAATAAAATAAATTGGAAAATAACCCCAAAACCCCCAAAATTCCCACCAGACCCACGAAAACAAACAGACCCCCCAAATTTTTCCCCCTTTCGTGGCTGCTCTCTCTGATCATCATCATCCAACCATCATCTTCACCGTAAATCAGCATCATCATCATCTAGCATCAAATCGTGGCCATCCGATTTTCATTAAAATCACGTGAAAAGCTCGTGATTGACCCACATTTGCACGCCCGCGAAGACATCGCGCAGAGGTCGCGCAAACTTACTGCCTCAACTCTGAATTTCGACTCCAATTGTGCGCCTTCTGACAGTGCTGCGCGGCCGCGAAGCTCCAATCAAATTGGACCTTAATTGAGGTTCGATTGTTTGCAAATGGTGAAGAGGGGAGGCCGGAATTCGCTGCTGGTGTAGCTGTGAATTGGTGGTTGTCATTGTGGTGTGCGTGAGGTGATGAGTGGCTGAAGTTGGAGATAGGGTGGTTTGGTGCTGCAATTGTTGCACGGAGAGGAGCTGCTCTGCTATGGGGATTTTTTCTGGTGGTTTTGGCGGCTGTGGAGGCTGAGATTGGTGGTTGCGTGAAAAGGAGAGTTGGAGCAGGGGAGTAGGAGTGTTGTGAGTTGCTGCGATTGCTGATTGGTGGTTTGATTGATGCGGTTGTGATTGTTGGTGGTTTGTGATGGTTGGAGTAAGTTTGGTTGGAGGTAGTTGCAGGCTGGGGTCGAATTGATGGGTGGTTGTTGATGGTGGTTTGCTGCTGTGAGTTGAGGGGTTTAATTGGTGAGTGGTTTGGTGGTGACTGATGGCTTGATTGCGTGAGGGAGCAGGGGATTGTGGTGGTTATTGCTGGCGGTTTTGGCGGTGGCTGGTGATGTGGGTTGCGAACAGAGATGGTGGTTTGCGTGGCTTCCTGTCATTGTTGGGTTGTTGTGGCTGGTGGTGTGTGGTGATAAGAGAGAGCAGGGGAGTGTGAGGTGGTTTGTGTGAGCAGGGGAAGTGATGTGAAAAGGGTGTGGTGTAGGTTTAGGTGATGGTGGAGTGAAGGTTAAGAGGGCAGCAACTACGATGCTTGGAAGCTTCTTGGATTGAAACCTTTGACTCGAACCTCCGACCTCCGAACACGAATATGACTTTGAAACCCGGAACACCTACAACCAAAATCACGAGGGTATTACCACGAGATAAAATAAAATAAGATAAAGATGAAATAAAATAAAATAACTTAAAAATAAAATCTAAAGAAATTAAATAAAATAAAATAAAGAAAACAAATATGAAAATAAAATAAAATAAGAAAGTGAGAGAAACTAGGAATTATTAACTAAAAATACGAAAATAAACTAAAAACTATTAAAAACTACTAAAATACTCAAAATAAAAGTAAAAGACGAGAATAAGCAAATAAAAGAAATAAAGGACAAAATGGGCTAAATTATTGGAAGATAAGCCGGAAAGCGACTCAATAAACACCCTAAAAGTAGGGCTGGCAAAACTGACCCGACCTGAAAATAGCGGGTAAGGTTGAGTTTTTCAACCCGATTAAGTAAATGGGTTGACACGAACCCGACCTGAAATTAAATGGGTTAGGTTCGGGTTGAGAATTTCAACCCGAAAATGACCCGTGTAACCCAAAAAAAAATTTATTGGATCAAAATATATGGTGGCAGTAAATTTTTGTGAAAATTTTACCCTACACCCTAGTGTAGGGTGTGTTCCCTACACCCCCCTTAAGCTACGTCGTTTTTTTAGCTGGGGTGGAGTTCTCATGTGCAGCTTCATTTTGCCATTCTTTCCTTTTTTTTTTCTTCCTCTTTTTTCCTTTTTTCTTTGTTTCTTATTATTCAAGCTATGTATATATATGATTTTAAACCCTATTTTTTCTCTCTCTTCAACTGATCAACCTCTATTTTTTATCTACATTTTTCTCTCGTTATTTCATCTTCTTCATTTGATTTTTTTTACGAATTTGATAATTGTTACCGATCATCAATGGCGAATTCTGCATCTGGAGATTGCGTTGATTTTGATCGTGATTGCGAGCGTGTGTTTCCTTCTGGAGTTCGTTTGGTTGATTCGTTGCTTCAACAAAGTGAGTAATTGTGATCATAATTTTGCAATTTTTAATCATCTCTACTTTGTTCTGTAATAATGCTCTGTTTATTTGAACTTAATTTATGTATTATTATTCATCTTCGATTTTTTAATTTACTACTTTGATTACATTATAATGATAATGTAATTCGATTGTTATACTTTGTATGAACATTTTGTTGCTTCTTTTTTTTTCTCTGTGTTTTAGAATTGTGTGTTTTTGTTGTATATTTTTTAGATTAATTTTATACTTTCAATTAATCATTTATGTTTTCTTATTTGTACTTATTAATTTGTTTATGTTCAGTCTCAAAGTCATTTTTGATCATTTATTTTTACATTTTTATATCGATATTATGTGCAGTGGTAAATAATGAAGATACTGTTTAAAATATTACGTGCTGAAATTTTTGCAATTGATCATGTGCTGTTTTAATATTGAACATTTTACTTATTTGTTATTGTTCATTCATGAAACTCTTTATGATCATTTATAATTGTATATTAAAACTTTGTGCAGTGGAAAAAAAGGATGATATTGTTTATTTAGAAGCAGAAAAGTCTGAATTAAAGGATAAAGAATTTAAATCTGAAGATGAAGCTTTTGAAGCGTATAATGAATATGCTTTTAGGAAAGGTTTTGGAATTCGAATTGGGAAAAGTAAGAGAAGAAGAGATGATTCTTTTTTGATGAAAAGATTTGTTTGTTGTAATGAGGGATTCAAAGATAATAAGTGTAAGAATAAAAGGATTTATGAGAAGTTGGATCATCGAACTGGTTGTTTAGCTTTTGTGCAGTTTCATATTGATCATTTAGGGGTCTATACATGTACAAGACATGAAATGGTTCATAATCATGCTATGATTCCTCCTGAAAAAAGGCATTTGATAAGGTCTCAAAGGGATGTGAATAAAGAGCAACTTTTTTTCATTCAACAATGAAATTGAGCGGAGTCAAAGTTACTGATTCTTTGAGGGTTCTAAAGAAGGAGGTTGGTGGATCTCCTAATATTTTTTTTACTGCTTCTGATGCGTATAATGCATTGTCATCTGAAAAAGCTGCCCAAATTGAAGGATGTGATGATAGTAACCAATTGATTAAATATTTTGCCAAGAGACATGTGGATGAGGCAGATTTTTATTATGATTTTGAACAAGATGATAGTGGTGCTTTAGTTAGTTTTTTTTTGGCGTGATGGTAGGATGATGAGAGATTATCATTACTTTGGAGATTTGTTGGTTTTTTATACAACTTATAGAACTAATAAATATGGAATGATATGTGCTCCATTTGTTGGGATGAACCATCATGGTAAGAATGTCATGTTTGGTATGGGTTTTATTCTTAATGAGCGCACCGAGTCTTTTGATTGGTTGTTTGACACATTTTTGCACTCAATGGGAAGGAAAAGTCCCATTACAATTATGACTGATCAAGCACAAGCGATTGCAGCGGGTATAAGAAACATTTTTCTTTCAACTGTTCATCATCGTTTATGTGTATGGCATCTTGAACAAAATTCTAAGAAACACATTGGAGCATTGAGAGCTTTGGAAGGCTTTACAGATTTGTTTGGATATCTTTTGAAGTATTGTGAAACTCCTGCTGAATTTGAATATTTCTGGAAAAGGTAAATTATTGTTTTTTGTATTTATTTTTTATTTTTATTATGTTATATATTTGATTATTATGTGTTATAGATATGAACATTTAGTGTTTTATATATGATCATACAATTTTTTTCTTTTTTTTGTATGTTATCATAATATTATTAGTGTCCATATTGTTTATGATCATTATTCTTTATACAAATGTACATATTTTAATTTATATTTTGTTCATTTTTCAATTAATATATGATCATTTCTGTTATACAGGATGTGTCATAAATACAAATGTGAAAATGATGATTGGTTATGTGATTTGTATAAAATAAAGGAAATGTGGTGTCCTGCTTATTCTAAGAAGTATTGGTCTGGTGGTATATTGCCCTATCAACGTAGTGAAACTACTAATAAGTCAGTTTCACAACGTCTTAATAAGACTCAAGGTTTATGTGATTTTTATCATGTTTTTCTTGATGTCGTTTCTGAGTGGAGAAGTAAGGAAGGTGGAAGAGATTACAATACTTTGAGGGGTAATAGGCACCTAGCTTTTGCTAATATTGGTATATTAGTTCATGCAAGATCATTGTACACTATTCAAGCTTATGTGCTTTTTGAAGAGGAGTTCATTAGGGGGACAACTTATGATCATGTTGATAATGGTTTGTGTTTTCCAGAATATTCATATCTTCTTTGGAGGCCTGGGAAGGATATAATTAAGCATGAAGTTGTTTTTAATAAGGAAACACATGCAGTTTGTTGCACATGCATGTACTTTACTAAGACTGGTTTACTTTGTTCTCATTCTCTTCGAGTAATCTTTTGCATTGTGTGCGTAATATTCCACAAGAGTATATAATGAAACGATGGACAAAGGCTGCCATGTGTAGTCATGGTATTGAAGAACCTACTTTGAGGACAAATGTTGTGGCTACTAGTGTTTGGAGGTCACAAACAATCATAAAGTTTGTGAAGTTGATAACAAGTTGTCAGAATTCTTTGAATGCAAGGGCAGAGGTTGAGTGTTATTTCAATCTGTTAAAAGAAAAGGTTGAGAGCGTATCAGGTGTAATTGACTTTAGTGAACCTATTAAAGAGGTTGAAATTGTTGATTTTGAGATCAAGAATCCTCCAAAAGCTAGGCCTAAAGGTGAGAGGAATGTAAGGCCTAAGAGTACCTTGGAGAAGCAATGCAACAAGGCAAAGGGTAATTTCAAGAGGAAAAAGTCTATGTACACTCCTTACAAAAGGGGTATAGGGCAAGCAGTTGTACAGGTATATGATCATTTAATATTTTCAAATTGATCATTTCAGTTTTCGTAAATGATCATTTTAGTTTGTTTTTTATAATAGGAACTTGATGAGAACGGTTGCGCTGTTAGTTATGCTAATTCTATTAGTGATCCCACTGAATTGATTGTTTTGAGCAATAAACGGTCTCAGGTAAATTCAAATGTGCCAAAAAAAAATATTTTATTTATATTTTATTAATATTGATTTTTATAATTTAAAAATATAGGTTGGCTTTAAATCAGCTGTTGTAGAAGAAATTCCTTCTACTTCTAAGGAATCAGATCATAGTATTTCCAATGATTTTGATCAGGTATGTTTGTTTGTTATTGATTATAAATTTATTTTATTTTTTGGCATTTATGATCTATATTATAATTTTTTTTATTTAATTTTTAATTTTTAATTTTTAATTTTTAGTTTTTTTGTAGGCTACTGGTGAAAGCCCTCTTTCATCCAGCATATCTATTGATGTTGATATTTCATCTATTGCTAAGTTTTTTTTTTCCTTATTTGTTTGTATAAGTGTTTGTAACTGATCATATACTGGTTTATTAATGATCAATTTAATTTTTTTTAAAGGCGAAGGATTTAAATCTTGAAGGTGTTTCTGTTGTTCAAGCTCGTTCTAATGTTGGTGCAAATAAAGGTGCTTCTGGTGTTAAAACTTACTCTCAAATTAATCCAAGAGTTCCAATTCATACTAGTGCGTCAACAAAATCTCATGCTGTTATTCAACCTACTGTTCCCAGGAATGTTCAAAATCCAACTCAGAATTGTTCAAACACCAATCCAGAAATGATCATATCCAACTCCAGGAATGTTCAATCAACAAATGTTCAAGTTATTTCTCCTACGGTTCAAATAAATGATCAAAGATTTCGTGTTCAGAATGTTCAAGTTACTCCTCCCACAGTTCAAAGAAATGATCAAGGTGCTCGTGTTCAAATTCTTCAATCAAGAAATATTCAATTAGGTTCTAAAAAGATTTCTTCTAAGTATGATATGTTGTTAGCCTTTTTTGATACAAGTGTAGCTAAACGTTTGGCTAATAAAGATAAATAAGTTAGTATTTCAGAACTTTATAAACATTAGACTTTTTTGTAATGTTGATTTAAGTACTATTTTGTAATTTTGAATTTTCGATCTATTATGTAAAAGACATAAATATTATATTTTATATAGTACTATTTTTAAGTATATTTGAACATTATATTAGAATTTTATATGTTTTTAAAATTATACATTTATCAATGATTATCTAGTCATTAGAATTTTATATGTTTTAAAATTCTACATTTATCAATGATTATTTAGTCATTTGTATATGAACAAAAGTAAGAACCAACATCCAATTTATAAAACTTATAAAAAACTTTCATTCAAAGATTAAAATGAAATATCAGTTACAATAATATTTTTAAAAATAAAATCCATAAGTCTATATCTTTAAAAAAAAAAAAAAAAAAAAAAAAAAAAACAGAATAGAGTCATATATAAGAAATGAACATATACATAGTTGTAAATGAACATTTGAAACTACAAAGTTGCAAACTTTCTAGCTTTCCTTCTATTTGCTCTTGATTCAGTGTTTTCTTCAAATAACATCAGTTCTGCTGTGTATTGGAGCCTTAGCTTTCTAATTTGTTCCACCTGTTGAACAAAATGAATTGTCAAATTTTAATTAAACAATCTTTATTGTTTCATAAATGAACATTATATCTTAAATAATTGAACATTTATAACTCTTACATTGTTTGGTTTTAAATCACAAATCCAGCTCTCAATAGGATCAGCAGTGAAGGTTTCCATATGCTTCATAATGTAAACTCCTTAATTTGTATAGTCATCGTTGCTACACCATTTCATCTTTTCCAAAACAACTGTGTAGTCTTCAATTCTATTTGCATCTTCATATCCAAGGTGTTTCATGTACTCTGCCAATCCTTTTAACTGATATAAACAAGAGTAAAAATTGTTTAGAAGTTGGTATTGTGATGAAGACATGAACAATTAATAAAATATAATTGATCATGTAGCCAAATATAAATGAACATATTATCTCACCATCATTTTTGGTTGTTCTTCATATTTTGCTTGGACTGATACATGTTTTGGTAGTTTTCTATTGTCAATTATATGAATTTTGTCTTCTATATGATTGACGCACAACAGAAAAAAATGTTGAGAAGTTGATACTGGGAAGAAGACCTGAACAAATTATATAATGTTATTGGACAATATATTGAATGTAATTGAACATTTGTATTAAACAAGAATTAATACTTGTTTATATCCAACAATGCTGTCAATTTTATTAAACTTCAGTTCATTGTCAATTTTTTCTATGAAGGCATTAATTCTTGTCTTCATTGATGATCCTTCTCGACAAACTTTATTTGTGCACATAATGTGCTGTTGAAATAGAAACAAACATATAGAAGTTAAATGAATTTTTAGCAATTATTTATCATAGGAAAATAGAATCAATAATATAAAAAAAGAAGAAAGACTAACATGAAGCATTGTTGAGAAATAAATCTTGTTTCTCGGCTTTTTATGATTAAGAAAACTTGCCCATCCATCTATGACACAATTTGTCACTTCAACATCATCTCCAAGAGTTTTCATTTCATTTCTATTGATGAGATTCAAGCCATCATAGTATAAGAGTGCACTGCATTATGAACATTTAATAATATGAATGTGAACATATTTTTATAAAATATATTAAACCTTAAGTTTAATTAGTCTAAGTAATCACCTTTCATATTTTCCACCAAGATCAAAGTCTACTGCAATTTGGTTCATGGCTTTCTCATCTTTAAACAGATCCTTGTACTTGACCAAGTAAGGAGATCGGAAAGCAGGAGGAATTGTTTGCTTCTCACGTTGTGGTCTTGTTGTTCAATATAAAATATTGTTAAATTAAGAAAATTATGAGGAATATAAATGAACATTTGAGTGTATATAATTTTTTTTTTGAAATTATACCTTTCAACCTTTCCCTTTTCAGTTTTTTTCTTCTTTTCTGCAATTGACTTTTTCTTTTCATCATTCCTGATCATATTACATAACACAAATGTACATTTAGGTATATGAAAATGTTCATTATTATTTTTGAACATTTACTTAATATAAATAATGTACCTTTTTGTGACTTTTGAGGATGAAGCAACAATCTTCTTGTTTTCACTGAAATGTCAAACAATGTCAGTACATATTAATAAAATATAAGCTTCTTATGTAACACTCTGTGTGCATTTTCAATTCATAAAATGAAAGATATTTATTTAACATAAACCACACATTCATATTACATATTCAACAAAATATTGTACACACATACAATAGTTTAAGAAACTCCAGTTTCAAGTTACAACACGATAGTAACATAAGTTAAATTGTTCCATCTAGATAATTTATCCTTACTAATTACATAACCCTAATAGTAAGACATGTCTTCAAGATTTTACCCCTCCACTTTTTCATCATTTTTTGTTTTTTCAAAAACATCTTCCTTGTTTTGTTCTCCACCTCCAATTGTGTTTTTTTTATCATCACTTTTTTCACTACTATCTGACCTAGGGTCAACATCAACCACTGAACCAGATCCTGCATCTAAGAAAAAATTTAATTAGATATTAATATTATTTCTTTATAAATGAACATTTGAGTATTTATAATTGAAAATTATACCGTACCTGTTCTAGGCAATCATTCATTATCTGACCTAGTGTCAGTATCAAATTTTGAACCAGTTGCTGCATCTAACAAAAAAATACAATTAATAATGAATATTTCTTGTTTGTAAATGAACATTTGACACTTTTTAATTGAACATTATACCAGTTCTAGAAAATTCTCCAATTCTTTGTTCTGAAGCTGCTGAAGTTTTACCCACATCCTTTTCTCCAACTGTATTATAAATCATCATTTTGGAGATACACTAAGTTAATAGTATTTACACATAATAATTAGAATTGAACATTTCTACTTAAGTTTATGTACATTATTATTAAATATATGAACATATTACCATTTGTTGAAATTATTGGTTGTTCAATTATATTACCAAGTGTTGAAGAGGTGGGCCCTGTTTCTGTTTAGGACAATTTAGACCACAAATTTAGAATTTTTCATATAAAAATTAGGATATATAGTCTCTTTTAGTTAGAATTTACCAATGGATGGAGAAGGTGGAGTCAACCCCAAGCTGAAAGCTTTTCTGATGTCATATTCTTGTTCTTTTTCCTTTCCCTTTTTGGTTAATTTCTTCCCAGTCATTTGCTTCTCAGTTGTTTGCTTTTCAGACCCTTGCATCAGATTCTTCTCAGCTTGTGCAAGTGCATTTAGGAAATCCTCACTGCCAAAGAATTCTTCATCTTGGCTTAGAATTGATGGTTCCCTAGCTGCCACCTTTCCTAAAACTTAATCAACTTTTTTCACCAAGTCGTTTCCAGGGAAGATGTCCTTTGCCTTCACCAATTTTGAAGAAAGCTTTGACAGGTTTGAACAAGTTGTGTTTACCAGGGAAACAAAATCATCCATGAAAACCTATATGAATGAATATTAAAAATTATGCAGTTGAACATTTAAGATTATACAAATGAACATTTATGTTAACAAAAGTGATCATTTTATAACCTCAGGACTTTCTTCAACTTCTGCAGCAATCCTTGGTAGAATTTTCCCTCTCCCAAATCCCAATTCTAATTCAATCTTCAACCTCTCAAGAACCATGTCTCTATTCCATGCAGATATGATAGGAAATGTTCTTAGAGGCCTTTTGTCTAACCTCTGAACTCTATCAAAATAGAACAACTACAAGAAAAAAGAAAACATGGAACAGAGCATAAACAATAAAAAAGTGCATTTATTTAAATTTAAATGAACATTTTGTATCTAAGAATATACCATCAGAAATTGAAGAGGGCCTTTGTAGAACCCCTTGCCTTGCTGCTTTCTCCAATCAACATGACATTTGATAAGTGAGTCATATACAAACTGACACCAGTTCAAATTTTTTATTTTTTCTTTGTCCATCATAGAATAAAGAAATTTGAAATGACATTGATTGTTTGATACACATTTCATCAAGCAGTTCACAGCCACTGCTAAAAAGTTAGTAATGAAATGTTCACTTTGTGGTCTGTTGTTGGTGAATTTATCATTTATGTATCCATTCACAATCTGCAAACAAAATGAACAAAACATTTATACTTTTGATCATTTAATGTATTTAAAATGAACATTTAAAACTGATCATACCTGACTCACTGATGGAGTTTTTCCTGACCATGATTTTCTCCATTTCTTCAGAAAATCTGCATACTCCTCACTATTTTTATCAGACTTTGGCTCAACAATTGGAATTTCTCCTGTAGGCAAGCCATAAACTACCCTCACATCCTCTACCTTAATTTCTATTTTTTCATTCTTTGGTAGTTCAAAACACTGGCTATTTTCTTCAACTTCCCAATAACCAATTACAGAACTTTTGATCAAGTTGAGGTAAACTAATGTCAAGAAGTGATCCTAACCCTATATCAACAACTTGTTGTTTTTGGGTAGGTGTCATCTTTTTTATTTATGCAATGAACTTCACATGTCCTCCTCTCTTTGAAGATTTCTCTTCCTCAAATTCATCTTCCTGAATTTTCTCAACTTCATCAGTTTCCATTGCTTGAACAATTTCAGTTTTCATTTTCTTTTTTCCCCTACCTTCAATCTTTCCTTCATCATACAGTACCATATTTTGCTCCCCCTTTTCAACCTTTGCCTTCACTGAATTCCCTTTCTTTGCCTGTTTCTTCCTTGGCTTTACTTCTTCCTCTTCCTCCTCTTCCTCCACCTCATAATACCCTCTGCTAGAATGTCAGCAACTAGGTTCTCGTACTCATGAAATTGCTCCATAATCGGCTTGTCATCAACAAGCTGGAATTTCAGCCACTTTCCCGTTGCATACTTCTCCTTTTCCGCATCATCATTCCCATAATTCTTCTCAAGAGTCTCCCAAACAGATTTGGCAGATTTGTTGTTAATGAGGAGATCGAACAGAGGGTTGTACATGTGACTCAAAAGATGACCTCGAACAAACTTGTTGTGCTTCTCATATTTAGCAATCTGTTCGTCTATGGAAGAAGATGAAGCAACAACAGCAGCACTACCTCCGGTTTCTGGACAAACTGGTTAGTCAGAACAAGAACATAATCGACCTCCGATTGTTTGAAGAAAATTAACAGCTTCTGAGACCAACGTTTAGAGTTAGTCCCATCAAGGGGTTCAAGTTTTGAAATATCAAGAAGGGTTTTTGCAATCGAAAAATCCATGATCTAAAACTACAGTAAGAATTTTGCTTCTAAATTGAAGGAAAGAAAGTACTGTAAAAATAGAAAAATATAGATTGAAATGTGGGCCAAATTTGGTTAATGTAGATGAAAAGTTGTGACGTGTTTAGAACATTGTCTTAGAAGCAAAATTCTCCCAGACTATGGTGCAATCGAAGATGGCGTTACCCCCCAAGATTTAACACAGCGATCTCTCTTAATTTGCACTCAAAAAGAGAGATTAGGAACTCACATTATGCTCAGAACTAATTTAGAGGAAAACTAGAAGAATAGAGAGAGGAAGAAAATCATTTCTTTGTGTTTTCAAAAGCCACAAAAAAACAGATTTTTATAGATGAAGGAAGCCATAACTGATGGAGAAAATCAAGCCACAAAATAAATCGTGGGAGAAAAGTCAAGGACAATTACAAACGTTTAAAAACTGAATCAAACGTTGTTACCGCGCACGTGCCACGAACCGAACCGACCGGACGGCGGTAGCGGCGGCGCACATGTGGATGCCCCCTTCTAGCCTACAACAATAGGGAAAGTAGTATAACCACACATATTTAAACTAAGTAAAATCTTCCTTATCCCACCAATGTGGAACAATGAGTTTTCCTCCAAAAATAACAAACTTCCTTTGCATTATTTTCAATAGATTGTATATCTAAAGCAAGGAGTTTTGCAAGACCACACACATTGACTCTTTCTAACCAGTTTAGTAATCACATTGTCTAAACCTCTTAACCTCTCATTGGTCACAACTCATAAGGATACATAATTAAATAAATATACCCTATATAGTTTTTGTGTTATTTTTAGTAATTTACAACCTCTCATTTCACGAATTCTCTATAATGATGTGACTAATAATTTTGAACAAATTTCACTTCTTTTTTGGTGTTTAGAAAGCCACAAGGGCAGAGGTGAGAATCGATCCCAGATCTTCTAGGGTCGTGAGTGAAACTCCAACCACTTGAGCTATCCCTCACTCTCTCAACAAATTCCACTTCTAAATCTAAGGACGCATACATATACTACTATCATTGAACAAAAGCATATAATTCAGATTATAAAATAAACACAACACACCTCGAATTGAGATTACGATGAGAGTCGTCTACATGTAAATTAACAATCGTTCCACTCTTATTATTCCACTCCAACTCATAATTTCCTTTCAAATCTTCAACATGCCCATAATGATAAACCTTTTGTCTAAACTTAAAAAAAAAACTAAAAAAAATTGTTCTGGATGAGTTCCGATACCGTGATGCTTTGGGGTTGATAAAGGCTTACCGTCCAATTTGATGCCTGCACAGTCAACGCAGATTAACTAGCCCGAGGGTTATCCAGGAATAACCGCTCCGATTCTAAAGTTACCAATCTGAGAAGAAGAAGGAATAAGGGAGAGAAAGAGTTTTAGAGAGAGAGAGAGGTTGTACCTCTATTATGAAAATGTGCTTGGGTATATATAGGGAAACAACCAAGTTGGTGTCACCTATGAGTGTAGGTGGCAAACCGACCTTGTAGGTAGCAGGTACCTACGTGGTCTGGAGCAGCTCTCCACGTGACCGAGAGAAAGGCCGTTATAGATGTTGATTGACTGTGATAATTAACTGGTTGTTATCGGCTAATAAGTGTCTTTGTCGGCATCCTCCTGTACAAAAATAAATAAATAAACAAATTCATCATGTCATTTTTCTACCAAAAAAACATAGAATTCCATTTTTCTCAAATACCCAAAACATAAATTTAAGAAATTAGATGACTACTTACAATTCCATCTTTGTTCCTTACATCATCAACAACAAATTTGAAGGATGAATTGATATTGGTGATGATTGAACCCAGTATCTGAGGGTTGCCCCTATCTGAAATAAATAAATAACAGAGTGTTCTTAATTTGAACATTATATGTTCATAACTAGTGTACAAACTGTTCAGAATACCCCTAAAATTATTCATTAAAATAAAATTAATGTAATGTTCATTATTTAAGTCTCGATATTTTCAACATAATCTATCAATGCCTATTGATTTATTTCCATGATCATTTGTATTCATCATCTACAAATGGTAAGTGCTTGAGTGCTGTACAGGCTCTGTTGTTGCTTGACTTTCATATGTTGGTGGATCGGTTGTATGGGTGGATAACTTGTCGCGGTGTATCTATTGCGAAGGCTCTGAAACAAAAAACCTAAGATGTACAAAATGAGTTCGAAATGTGGCTCGTCCAGTTAACAGATTTCTATATTCTTTTTTGACTGATTTTTGGATTCTTCTTGTGGTAATGACTTCATTCTCGTGTGATGCTCCATAGATTTTACTCAGTTTAAGGAACGAGGCTTAAATACTGAACTTTACTTCTTCCTCCGTTTTTTATTAGATGTATCACTTTCTATAAATACAAGTTTTAATTTAGATGCATCACTTTCCCTTTTAGTTAATAAGTTCGCCCTATCTCTCTAATGTTATTCTTGATAAGCTATTTTTTTTTTTGACGGGCTTGATAAGCTACTGAAACTAGTATAATGTCCCTATGAATCTAGCTGCCAAGAGATGCATTTTTTTTTTTTTTAACATTGGTCCTGCATTGTCTTTCTTAGTCTCTGCATCAGCTAGATAGCTTTGGACTGTGAACACTGCTGGTATATGATGCATCTTGCTTACTAGTATTTGCTTTCTTATAGGAGCCTAAACCCACCAATCTTACTAATTGGAGTACTATCCTAAGTTCCGGCTTGAATAAAGGATGTTGCTACTGTTCTCTGCTAGAAGCTTCTGCTGCTGTTGCTCTCTGCTAGATGCTTTTGTTGCTGCTATCTACTGGATGTTGCTACCGCTCCCTGCTGCTCTAATTTTTTTTTTTTTTTTTTTTTTTTTTTTTTTTTTTTTTTTTTAAAGAAAACTGTAATTTTACAAGCTATTAATGAAAATTTCCAAGCTTTAGGTATTTATGTCTCTACTATATTGGTGAAAAGGGAGGGTGGGGGGAAGGGCACCAATTCAAGGGCCAAATCGGCGCCTTATGTGATGTAAAGGCACCAATTTGGCCTTTGAACCGGTGCCCATTACCACAGAAATGAGCATCCCTTTGATCACCAGCGGTTTAAAACCGGCGCCCATTACACTTTTTTCTACTAGTGTTAAAAGAGGTGTTTAAATTTTGATGAATTTGCTCATTTACACCATCAAATCTCTTCCTTAAAATGCGTACAAAATTACTAAAATTATTTTTTGGATCATTTAGCCTAAGATCACAATAACAATTTTTTTGTACAAATATATACAGCAACTCATCAAGACAAAGAAATGTCTAAAATCTAGAAGGATTATATATTTTTTTACCAAAGTATACATGACATCCTTCCCGGAATTACAAGGACCTGCACCTACACATCTGATGACAGACAAAATGGAGCACCCCTTTAAGCAGAGGAACCAATCGAACCACCTACCCCAAGCATAAACACAATCACTAACTGTACACACACTTGTACGATCTTAACATCATATATACAGCCGTCACACTGAATTACAATCCTGCTAATCAGCCTACAAACATTTCTGCTTAGGTTGAAACAAGCTGTTAAAAGGGGTAAGTATGACTACCTCGAGAATTGTAGTGCAGCAAAGGCAACAATCTTCATCGAGAAACTAAGTTGCACTGCAATTCTAATTGCTGAAGCTCCATTTCCGTCAACTCTCCGAAATTCCATCACTGGTTTTGGCATCTCCACAAAATCCAAATCAATAAAAATTGGTAGGTATACCTATTGTGGCAGAACCAAATTCAACATAACAACTATCATCTTGGTGAACCAATGGCATGTCAAGTCTTCCATCTTACATTGCAAAAGACGACTGCCGGAAATTTGGACAAAATTGTGTGATGTAAAGGACCAAAAAACCCAGGTAGATCTGCAAATAAATGACACAGATATTAGCTATCATTTATTATGACAACATACTAAAGATAAACAATCCAAAATAACCGTTTAGTACATACTATGATGACATGCATGGATACACAACTGTCTAACAAATGTTGTTTATCATGAACACAAATCAAGTCATAGAACTAACAAACTGCATTCAAAGTCTACTAATACATGTAGCTGGCCAAAAATCTAATCCCAATGTAGCCCATTCACTAAAGTAATACCAGAACAATAGTTAATGCTAATAGTCACTGATTATGTGATTCTATCACTCAAGAGCAACCTAGGATGACATGACAACAGAAGACACCCCAACCACCTCCAACAATGAAACATACACATCTTTTGCATGATATCAAATTCACTGTCATTAGATTCATGTGATCACAAGCAATAACACCCAACTACTTAGTATTCACACACCGGTAACAGTCCTCAACAAAATAAGAAAGAAAACATTGCAGACGAACGTTATTCTTTGTATAGCAAAGAAAGAAAAGCCAAGAAGCCTCAAGCCACAAATAAGAAGCTTCTCTTAGCACATCATTGACCTCAAGCCACAAAAAAGAAGCTTTTCTTAGCACATCATTGACACACACACAGAGAGATCTAGTGTATTAAAAGTAACGATACTTCTCAGGTTAGGTCCACTCTCCAAGTAAGAAAAGAAATGCTTAATCAATCTCACTCACTGGATGCATGTACATCTTTGTGGAACGAAATAAGCAAAAACCAAATACATTCTTGTTGAATAATTATGCTCTATAGCTTCTGCTCCATAAGTAGAAAAGGCTGAAACAGAATCTCTGCATCAATAGGAGACTTGAAGAAGAAACGAAAGGTTTAAGTTGCAAATATCACAGATCTACAAAAGCAGAGTTATCTATACGTTCCTGATAATAGCTTAATCAAATCTCACAGATTTCAAACTTCCAACATATAGCTGCATAAATCCAACGGCTGAAAATATACGAGCTTTCACTTTAACACCATCCTAGGACAACAACTAGTCGCCTGCTTCATGTAAACTAAACATGCACGTGATTAAGATAATTGAGAAACATATAATCAGAAACAGAAAATTCTACATGCATTCATATGTGAAACAACTTACAGCACTACAATCGCTAACCTAAAATAAATAAGATAAGCAATGTTACTCATACAGCCTATGGCACGTCAGGTGTCGCATGTCGGATCCTCAAACACCTGGACACAACAAGACACCTGAATATATAGTGGCCTTATATGAAAATTTTATAAAATCTTGAGTCATGGACACAACACTCAAATCCAAGTCTAGGAAACATTGGGTATAAACCTACATGTTGATAAAGGACTCACAAAAACAAAAACAAAAATGAAATAGAGCATTAAGCACATAGAATATATATTAATTATAAAATACTCGTATGCCCATCTTTGACACTGAAATTCAAGAATATTGTTCCAAAAAGAAAGAGCAAATTTGAACGTATCATTTGATACAAAATACTATTGCCACAGGAATCTATAAAATTTAGACAAGGATTCCACACAATTGTATATTGTTTCAGGTTTGGGGAAAAAAAATGGAAAGAGTAAGTTGCTAATGTGGTAAAGACGGAAGCACAATAATGCAGCTCCGAGTCTAGAATATATTACAACCTACAGTAAACTTCATAAGTTGTAATCAAGAGGTCCTTGAAGATTACTCGACATAGAATACCGACTCATTAGCTCTGATCATTATACCCCTTAAATCTTTATGTCCTCTTATGTGGCAGACTGCAAATGTGAGCTTGTTTCTTCTACAGCCATTAAATTTGTATGATCACTGATGGTAAGCTATCAGCATGTGAACTTGGAATCTATGTTATGCTTTAAAACCTTTGTTTACTGTGAGAACACAATTGACGGAGCAAGAGATTTGGTACTCCATTCTAGTATTTAGCTTGGTTGTTTTAAAGGTGCACAAAATTGATTTTTCTGTATTTTCTTTACAAGTGGAACACTGAGGCTAATTTAATCAACATCAATGAAACATAATCATTAATTAATATAATAAGCTCCAAGTATGATTATCCTTGTGCAAATCAGTCAAATTTAAATGAAAAAGTTTTAACATGACATATCACATTTAAAGCTTTCTAGGACTTTTCCTCAAGTATTTTAAGGCTCTAGGTAGAATTATTATGTTTTATTCAAACCAGCATTCATTAGGAAAACATTGTAATTCCAAAATAAAGCTCTTTAGGGAGCAAGAGATTAACAAAATCTAAGCTTCCTACCCATTGTTGCATATTGCTTTATGACTTTTGTGCTGTTGTAGGCCTTTATATATATTATTCTGTCACATGTACAAAGCACCAAAACGGATACAATCACAAGAGACCCTCAAAACAGATAAACTCTGTTCACTGTTCCGCTAGTGCCCACCTCGACTTGCTCAGCCATCACAAGCCCCAATCTACCCTTGACTTGCTAAACCATCACAAGCCCCGATCAACCATTAACTCTAATATTGTCGCTAAGACCAAGAGTATCCATCATCCTTATTTCCCTGCTTGTGTTGCTAATCTTGCTATGGGCTCACAAGCTTTGTCCGCACAAGAGTACACCAGTGCCCTTGCACCACTAGATGAGAGCCCACCACATGGGTCTGGTGTCAAAACACTCAAAAACATGATTGTTTCAATATTGAGGTTTTTTAGCTTCTAAATGACCAACAAGGCCGACATCAGAGTCCTACACAATCAAAACAGACTAAAAACATCCTAACATGTGCCCACATTATGATTTCCGATATTTCATCTCAAACTCCTATTCTTGTAACAAATATCTAAGATCTTTTCAACAGTGATTTCAATCCAAATTCTTTTCATTCTTTATTGAAGGAATCTCAAATGTTTCCATGCCCACTTCATATGCGCCCAAAAATGTGAAATACTTTCCCAAAAAGACAACAATCACCACTTCAAAAAGATGCATAGAAAGGATCGTTCATTCCATAAAATTTAAACCCCAACAGTATTACATCCCCACTTCCCAGGTTCTAAATCTGTGTTGTGTTGTGTAAGGAGGTTGACCTTACCTTACTCACTCAACAACAATATTCTTAATAACCAAGAATCTTTATGCAATTATCAATTTTGAAGTTAGGACTTGTTTGGTTGACAAACAAATTCATGGGAATTTAGAATTCCTAGGAAATGAATATATGCACACTTGTTTGGTTGCCAATAATGTAGGAATTGGAACTTCCTAGGAAGTTCTACTTCCCACAAAATGGAGGAATTCACTTACCTAGTCCCCCCTAGGTAAGTGGAACTTCCCATGGGAAGTAGAAATTCCTACATCCAACCAAACAAGTTTTGGGAATTCCTAGGAATTACAATTTCATAGGAATTGAGATTTCATGGGAAATTCTACTTCCTACATCAAACCAAACAAGCCCTTAGAAGGTGAAATTCTGATCTGGCACTGAATTACCATGTCCAAGTTTGAGTTCCTACCTTGTGCATATACTTGTTTCACAGCCAGTTGATAGCAGAATTTCCGGTGTTTGTGCCATTGTTCAGTAATAAAAGTTCAAAAGTCTATTACTTAATTTCATACATCTTATGCCAGAATTGATTGCTGATTATTTAGAGTGTTTTTGCTTCAGATTTGTCCAGGTGTGGCTGTGTCGCATTCCAAATACTTTTTCCATTCAAGAGTTACTAGTAAGAAGAGCAGCTCAGCCAAGAACAAATCTAGAGAGTTATCTAGTATTATAATTATGGCTGTAAGCTTTTATTTATACATTTTTAAGGAATGTTTGTCATGATCCATCTTGTAAAGGCTGCATATGTACATAGAGAGCAACGCAACAAACCAACTACATTCCCCCAATAAGTCCTGTTTCTCCCTTTAAATTTATCCTAAATAAACACCTCATACAAATTATGTTGGGTACAGTGGTTCACCAAATAATATACTCTGTAATGCTTTAATCTATCGTACAACTTCTTCATTATTTGTTCATCTTTACTCAAAGGCCCAACACTATCTCTCATTTCAATAAAAGAAAATAACAAACACTACACTCCAATTTTTATCCACCATTACTCAAAAAGGCCCACCAACAATTCTCTCCTAAATCTACGTGCCCACCGTCCAAGAAAGATGGGAAAAGGGTATAAATCTGAATATATAGCTCAGAACCTACATTTTCTCAAGCAAAGGGATCAACAAAACCAGATAGCCATCTTGAGACCAAATTCACATCAAAAACAAACTGGAAGACAATTTCTTCAAAATCATTTTCTTCAAAAAGATTATTCAGCGTATTTCAATCTGAAAGCTCATAAGCTTAGCAACTAGAACCCAAGGGCTTGAACTTCACTTTTGGCCGGTGGAAAAGGAGTGTAAAAGGAGAGTGAATGAAAAAAGGCAGTTTCCAATCCAACAGCTACGTAAAACAATCTCAGACATGTGGATGAAAAGTGAATTTGACTTGATTTTGATGTATCCAATTGGACTTTAAAGTTCAAAATACTACTCTGAATGTTTGCACACTGCTAAAATTTTGATAATTGAAGCCTACCAATCATATTATTTGTGCGTCGTAATATGGCTGAATGACGGCACAAAAAGGTGGAGGAAGTAAACTTACTGGATATGACAACATATACATGACATTTCCTCACACAACTCTCTTTACATCGCAGAAAAAAAAAAATTGATTTATGATGGTCATCGTCCGAGATACATTATGAATTATGAACATAGCACATATAGGGGACTCAAACATACAAAGGTCTTAAAAAAATTATTTGAGTAGGATCTGAAGATCTTATAACATTTCAATTCTAACAGGACACTTGCATTATTTGGATTTAGAGTCAGGTGATTCTAAAGTTCACACTGAGATTTTAACAGCACAGGGGGGCAAATTGATAAGTGTAGCTCATCATCCGTCATAACTCATAAGCTTCTAAATGTGATTCTTGCACAATGGAAATTACTGCTAGTCATGAGTTAGTCAGAATAAGATTATAATAACATTCCCCAGTTAGTCAATGTGGTATCAATGTGTCATGTTAAGCAGCACCAAAAAGGAACGAATGGGAAAAAAAAAATTTAAAAAATGCAAGAAAAGATAAAATTATAAGAAATTGGCCTTAAAAATACACAAATGTAATATCAATTAGCCATATGGCCTTTCTCCTTTTTTGGACACGACAGGAGATAGAGAAGTAAAGCATAAAAATAAGAAGATTAAATTATGGCTATAATCATAAGCAAGCTTGTGACTGCTTAAGCAAATATACAGCAGTTAACCAGCATGTTGGGCGTTCCACGAAGTCCAAATCAAGATGAAATTCACAACATAAACAAACCTGAAATTTATTTGTGCAGTTAATTTTAGATATTCTATAATTCCAGACAAAGTTCCATCAGATATGAGAAAATGTTTGAACACAACTCGACAGAATACACATCCTAAAACTACAGGAATTAAAACTGTAAAAGAATGAAAAAGGATTGATAGTACATCGCATGTGAACTATAACTATTACCAATTAGAGATAGGAAAAGAAAATAGAAAATAGAAAAATTACCTTACTGCATCATATTCTCAACGCACTTCACTGCACCACATCCAAAAATGGGACAGTTGAGAAAGAAACTAATCTAGTTGCAGATTGAGAGCTTTCCAGTGTATTCATCAGCAACACCATAATCAAGGCTAAGTTCCCGCATTGGTGGGATGTTCTCCATTGCAAATAGCATAAGATGAGGAAACAAAATGTTGTTATGATCATAAAGCACCAACTGCACCATCACATTGGGACAAGTGCTATGGCTTATGTAGCAAGCAACATTTCGCATTTTGGAAACATCCATGGCAATATCCAATGGAGGAATAGAGGGATATGTTGGCGTCACATAACCAGGATATATTTGGGTTAGATCCCCCCATTCAGCCCACTTTTCTGCAAATCGGCCAGGATATATAAGAGTGTCTCCATTCATGGAGAAAACTTGAGCCTGCTCCGTTGTAAGAATAAGCCCGGCATATTCACAGATAAATGAACCAGCATGTATCAAGTCTAAAGTCCGAACTCCCCAACCTGTTTCCCTGGACCTAAACACTTCCAATCTATGCTTCAGCCCCTTTTGGCTAACACGATTTCGGCAACTAGGAGGACAGCCACAATTGCTGTTACATTCAAATAATAAAGGTTTCCCTCTCAGCAAAAAACCATTATTATCATAAGCAATCTCCCCTCCATTCTTCATTGCACACAAACACCCATCATGACAACTAGTGATACAACTGCACCCCATAGTTCCCCCTGAATACACAAAAGCAGGGAAAATCGCCGTGGGGCAATAATCATAGTACAACGGGTCATTATCTGCATCAATATCATTAAAAACAAAGATGGGCACATTCTCCTTCTTCATCGAAAGATCGAGACTAAGATACCCCACAGGCCTAACCTGCAGTGCCCTAGTCCTCAAGCTTTGAGCCAATTTCAATAAGGTACTACCCATTTCAGGTTGACCCTCAATTCTTATAAGCTTGAACTTATACACACCATAACCAGATCTACCAACATCAAACCAAGACTCAACAACTTTATATAAACCATCATAAACATAAATTTTAGTAGTAAGACTACCTTCATATTTAAGACCCCTAATCACTCTAATTTCAATACCATAATGCATACTTCTTTCCAAAGCCAAATTACCTCCTTCAAGCTTCTGGTGATTGACCATCCTGTGAAGCTTATCGAGCCCGCCATGCCCTGTATAAATTAACACATCCCCAGCATCTACATCATCTTCATACCCACCAGATACAATGATACTCGTTGCAATCGGTTCGCCATTCGAACTCTGGCTCGAAGGCAAGTAATCTATTCCAGCTTGTGACTGCCCATGTAACCCAACCACACAAAGCTCCATTCTAAAATAGAACAAGTCTCCAATGAACACTCCAGGAATCGACCCAACAATCCTCTTATCCCTATTAAGCCATAGCCCACGATCCCTCATCAATGTAGCTGCCCGTAAATCGCCACGAGCTCTTCTCCCGGCCCCCGGACCACTCCTCCTCTCTTCCTCCGTCATTGTATAGATCCTCAACGCGTCGTAAATCATTCGAGTTCGCCTCACAATATCCCTGAAGTACCTCTGATCCTCCACACTCAAGTTAGTAACTCTAACAAGCTCATTAGAACGCTTCTGCTGACGCCTGAGCTGATTTGGGGCAGCAACAGCCAATGCCGAAAACTGATTCTCCTCACTTGGGACAGCAACAATTGCCCCCGAATTCGAGTCCAATGGCTGCTGCTGCGCCTGATGCAGCTCCCCTTGCCCCGGCATTCGCCCAAAAGCCGAATGAAACATCTCCGAAATGCGGTAGAATTCCGAGTACACGTTCGACTCCTCGTTAGTTGAAGACGGAGACGGCTCCAGAGCAAAGTCATTTGCCGGAGGCGAGCTGGGGATCAAATCCGGCGTTTCAATTTCCGGAATGGGGTCATCGATGGGTTCAGATTTGACCCGGATTTCCAACTTCGGACGACGGAAGGCTGTCACTGTCGCACCAGAATGCGCGACAACAGCGGCTGAAGTTGAAGGGAGAGTGGACGGAGCGACACGTGGGTCAGGTACGAGATTGAGGTCTGGAAATGGGGCAACAGATCCCATTTCAGGAAGCATGGAAGTTTCGGAGGAGAGAGAAAAAATGGAAGGTCTGGTTAAGGCGGCGAAGTCAGAGCATTTTTGGCGGTGGTCAGAGGAGTGAGAGAAGGTGGTTGTTGTGGTGGTTAGGGTTTAGGTTAAGGTGGCAGAATGAGGAGAGATTTTAGGTGGCAGTTGATTTGACGACAATGGTGCCAGTACTTTTTGAACCCAATTTCATTCAAATAGATGATGCAAGGAAATGAAATAACCAAAAAAAAAAAAAAAAAGAGAAAAGAGAAAAGTACAGTACTCTTTTTTTCTGAGATGAGGAGAATAATTCTTTTGTTGAGCCCGAACGAAAAAATTAAGAGAGACAATAATGATGATGTAACAAAAAGAAATGTAATGAGGAATTGAGGATAAACTATTACTATTATTGAGAGGAAGAGGAACTAGCACCGCTATTTATATTACTTGTGCGAATGAAAGAAAGACTCACAAGAATAATCTTTAAGCGGCGTTATTTGGATTGGTTTCACAAATGGATTGACTAAGGTTGCATAATTGTGATTTTATTTCTGGAAATCTTTCTTTTATCGAAAGAAATTATATTAGGGTTGCAATATTGTGATTTTATTTCTAGAAATCTTTCTTTTATTGAAAGAAATTATATTGAATAAAACTGTTCATTCTCCCAAAAGATTCGCACCAGCTGTATTCATATAATCTTATTGATTATATATATCAAATCACTTTCATTTCATATGAATTATGATTTACTTCCATTAGTATCTCCAATTATGTAATGTGTCAGATACATAATTGTCATCCGATTATTTTTAAAATTTAATTTTATTAAGTAAAACAAATCATATCTGATAAAACAATTCATGCACCTAAAAGAATTGAACTAGCCATATTCATGTAATCATATTGAATATTAACCTGTCATTTTATTTCACATAAATCATATTAATTTATTTGATATCTCTAATAATGTAATGTGACACCAATTTTAAAATTATTGTTTTTTATAAATTTTATTTTATTAAAATAAATCATATTTGATAAAAATTCACACAAAGAAGATTCACAAAATCCATACACATATTAGGTCAGAGCAAATCATTAATCATATCATATCATATCATATAATATCATATCATATAAATACATGATACGAGTATAATATATCACTAATAAATAAAGCTGAGTCACAGCCAGGTCATTAGATGGAAACACTTGGTATTCAGTCCTTCACCAAGTGTCGCGTCATATAGGCAAAACTATGCATAAACATGTCACATTAGATGTCATGAAAGCGATATAAGATAAATAGTTTTGTTAATTAAAAAAAAGTTATTTTTATTAGAGTATTCTATTAAATCTTTCACATGTATGCAATAATTTATAATTTCACCACAATTTTTATAAAATGAAGTTGTAATTGTTGCATCATAAGATTCATTTTAAAAAATGCTTGAAAACAAGATCCATTCATAATATATTTTAACCAATCATAATTTTTTTTTTTTTAAATTTAACAAATACATAAAAAAAATTATAAGAAAATATGATGTCCTTCCAACCAAGAAAAGGCAAAAAGTACTCGTCAAGGTATCGAGTTACAATGACTCCTTTCACGCTTATTGGCCTTGACATTCTCTTTTTACCGTCTTTTTTGTCTTTACTCCACATCCTATGTTTATTGTGTAACCCTTTGAGTGTTGGCTCATCAACAACAAAAGTTACTATCCATCTAGCTATCAACTATTTTGCTAGTTCTAGCCACGACGGATGGAGTTGGTTTCTTTCAAGCAACAAAGACCCTTCGAACAAGAATTTTTCAAATTTATGTATTTGTTTTCGTTGGTTTGTAAGAGCTAATTTATATCATTTATATGTTTTGTTGAACTATTTGTAGTTTGTAATAGTTTAATTAAGCTTATGTCAAAAAAAAATAAAAAAATAAACCTACTAGAACCATCACCATGAACACTAACATCATCACTACACATGGAAGTATATGTTTTATATTTCGATTGATCTCTTAGTTTAAAATTACTATCACTTCCAAATAGTGATTTATTAGTTTCATCCAAGTTTTCCTCAGCACGAGCTATTGATTTACCATACCCTTACCTTTTGCAATTGTTCATTGCCCCTTCTTTTCACTCCTTCCCTCTCCTTACTTGCACCAGCAAATCATCAGATCTCTAAAGTTTGATTTTTAAAAAAATAAACAAACAAAAACAAAAAAAAAAACTTCCCTACCTCACAATTTCACAAGTCATTTACAACAACAATCCATATGAAAAAAAAACCCCAAAAAACCCTTTTACATACTATAACTTAGTTCATATTTAACACACATTAGCTCTGTTCAACCACATTAATTTAGCTCAAATTCAAACACTTTAACTCCGCCAATGTGTTTATATAACTATTTCAATCAACAGCACTCAACTCAACTCAACTCAACTCAAATTCAACAACAATAAAACATGCATGTAATTGTAGGGAATATTTCAAGAATTACCCCAAACTTGAACCCCACTGTGATCATACACTTAAGCATGGTGGCGTCCAAAGGGAAAGAAGCTAGAGTAAAAGAGTCGCCAACAAGTTTTAGGAACTTGTAAACCGTTCACAGGGTGAAGGTTACACCCTTTAACGATCCAGGAGATCGTTAACTCCAATAGGTCTGGAACCATGACTGGAAGTTCAGGGATGAAGGTACAAATCCAATCTAAAAGAGAAAGAACCTGCCCTAATAATAGGCCTCTACTTTATTCTTCTCGTATTCATGTGCGCTTTCTGACTAACATTCAATCATTAGGTTTACCCTAAACCTGTTTATCTATGTTGGTTGAATATTAATGCACAAACAAATCTATTATCGACGATCACTTGAATTATATTCAAATTAACCCTAAACAAGATGATTAATTATCTTATTAAGCGTGATTACAAGTACGAATTCCCTTTAAACATGCATAAAAGGTGTGATCAAGCAATAACAATAAACATCAAGCAACATAATAATAATCATAATAATAATCCAAATAATTATAATCATAATCATAATAACAATCATAATTAAAATAATCATGTTCATGTTAAAAATAAAGCATAATATTAATAGCAAGATCCTAGGCATGATACTAACAAGAAATCAAAGCTTTAACCCTAACATGATATTAAGAAAGGAAATAGGAAGCATCATAGAAATCATAATTGATTTAAGAAACTTATTCTTTACCCTAAACATCATACTAAGAAAAGCATCCTAACATGATACTAGGAAAAACATCCTAACATGATACTAGGAATCAAAATAACAACCTAAACATGATTTCTACATCAAAATATCAATTAAACAATTAAAGCACTTACTTGGATGCCTCGTATCTCTTTCTAATAACAAAATACACACGTTAGTAACTTCAAGGAAAATATAAAATTAAAGAAATAAATCAAATAATTAAAATAGAGATTTGGGACCAAACCCTCATAAATATCAAACCTTTCACGTCTAGGGTGAAGACAACTTTGAACTTGGCTAGGTGTGTCTAATGCTAATGTATGAGGAATTTTGTTTGTAAAAGGCTAGGCTAGAAAGAGAGAGAGAGAGAGAGAGAGAGAATAAGCTTTAGCTTAGAGAAAGAGACAAGAACTAGAGAATTCTGGTTAAGAGTTGATGATTAAAAACGGAGGTATAAGGACGCTATTTATAATGAAATAGTCCAGAATCAATAAAAAGAATCTGAGTTCGAAAAGGAATAAAGCACGTCTTTGTCGCTAACAACAGCTTCTGTTGCCAGGCGACAACCTGACGTTTGGCGCTGCAAGAGATTTTTCCACGCGTTTTCTATTTTTTGATAAAATTAAGTCGTGAAAGTCCGTACGAGGTGTAAAATCGTAATTTCACATAAAAACACTTCTTTTACTCCAAATAAAACTCATAAAACTTAATTATCAATCCTAATCCCATTAGGATTCAAAAGAACCTTCTAGAAGATTCTAGAAGACTATAATCAATCCTAATTGCATTAGGAATGTTAATACATAATAGGCCCTCCTCTAGATCATTGGACCGCAAATAAAGATCAAACCGGGCCCAGTTTAGTAATTTGGTCATAACTTCCTCATTATTCATCGGAATTGGGCTTATAATATATCGTTGGAAAGCTCTTTTCGAGCCCTATCCAACTACACTATTATTGAACCCTTGTTATGGACCAAACTAAACTGGATTGACTATTTTTATAAAATAGAATAGGTTTTCGAAAACAGAAAGAGAGATTTTTAGTAAAAACTAACCGCAACACTAGACTTTCCACGCTTTCACTCCATTCGCTTATGATTCGACGCAAAAGGTATTCATCACCGGGTTTGGTTTTGGGGAGACACAAATGGGTGTCTACAGTAATACATTTATACATCAAACACATGAACCAAAATTTAATTATGTCACTAAAACATTACAAGTTAAATTCAATCAAACAACATATCAAATTAACACACTAATCCAATTCAACTGCATTGGTTAATTTATTTTGTAATTCAATTCTCAATTTATCGATTTCAACTACATATTACATGCATTCAAATATCTTCGGTTATTCATTTACAATAATGAAAATGAATGATTTGATAAGGTTAATAAAACAACAACGAATAACCTAAATACTTAACGGGACCAATGAAAGTTAAACATTTAAATTCAACCTACATCATATTTGTTTAGGATAAAATACCTAAGGGAGGCCACGTGACCCAAGCTAAGTGGTCTAGTAATATTGTGACATGTGTCCGCCGGGTAGGCCTTAAAAGCCAAACGATGTTTGACACGAGACAATTGAGAGTTCACCTGATGATAAATCCATGAAAGCCATAAATGACCAAATCCAGAAAGAAATATCATAAAACGACACTATCCATGATACCTTGTACACACGTATTTTGCAGCCAATCAAGATCCATCATTTTAGGGTACAAAACCCTAGTGCATAAAAAACAAGCACACTATAATACCCCCAATAATTAATTGATATGATAAGTTTATTCAATAACATATTCAAGGCTTTAGCCCAAAAAACACTCTATCTTCTCTAATTTCACTCTCTACCTTTTATATGTTCGGCTTCTTACTTGATCATCGAAAGAGAATATTTCAGCAAACCTGATATTTGTGATTTGGTAGGTTCTCATACGAGACTTTTTCACTACTTAAGTCTATCTCTCGAAGGACATAAAAAAATCTACAAAATAATATTAATTTTATTTACGTGCTGAACATATTCCCTAATTTAAAATAAAAGCATAATATAACAACAAGTAAAACCCGGTTTTGAAAATTATAATACTGAATAAATAATCTTCATCTTATTCACTGCTCAATTCCATAAATGACACATAAATCACATCAACCTAATAACCCCCAAATAT